ACAATCACCTTTCCCTGAATTTTACTCAGGTGTAACTAAAGTCTGCTTTAAGGGTTGTTTATATTTCACATCATTAATCAGAATCTGCAAAGTAACTAAAATAAATGTAGTGGAGTAAAAATACCAGGTTAACCTCTGAATTGTAGTGGAGTAGAATTCCAAAGTAACAATGAGCTGGCATGTGGGTATATATTAATGCTTCCCATTATGGACACAAGCGATTTTCACCCATTTATTAATTACATGTTTTACATTTGTACACACCAATTTGTTTCCTATCCCCTAAACCTCCAGGGCTGTACACAGTTTAATACTGTCAACTTCTAATTTTGGGAAAAACGAAAACGTCTTTTAAAACTACAATTCCCAGTAGAGACGCCATAGAACATGTTGCGAAACACAATAGCCAGCATTTGTAGTTCTGGGGGGGGCGTTCGAGTCCAGTTTTGGAAAGTCTGCCGTGGTTTCGTTCCATTTCAAAGAGCTGTTTGGCGCTCGGCGTAACCTTGGCGCACTGCCACTCCAACATCCAATCCCAGAGCTTGAAGATTAATCACGGGGACAACAGGACTGTAGTCCCAAACGATAGCTGGGGATTATGGGTAGTGTAGTGTCTTCGGCCATCCTAAACTCTGATTCTTTTTTCGGATTTCATATCGCATTAACACCATATCCCGACGTGCATTGCGGCTAAAACATCCAATCAGCGAGCTGATGATCTTTCCTACGTCACTTTACAGCCCTGCCCACTTTTGGGGAAACCAGCTGTCATTTGAACGGCGATCAAGCCTGAAGCCACAGAGCTCTTCTGTTGTATACTGTCCTTTCTTCTTAGAGGAAGTACAGAAACACGTAACTCTGGATTTGTTTTAATGTTTGAGGTGCAATAAACGACACAGCAGCTTTTTGGCATGTTAAAACTATTATTTTCTGCCTCGCAGCTGGCGAAATTACAGCCTCGCCTACTGATTTTAATTTAACCATAGGATATCAAGCCCGATCGTCGATTTCAAATGTGTGCTCTAAAATGATATTAATAAATGACTATTATCATTATTATAAGCTAGAAAAGAAATGTCAAAGATAGGTAGAAAGCAAACGTATTTAAGATATGTTCAGAACAAACGTAACGTGGGACAAAATACGTTTCTTGTTAAACGTAATTGAGAATGCTGTATGAAACGACTACAAACAATATTGTGATTATTAACCATTAACCAGCATAATAACGGATTTGGTAAACTGAAAAGTCAGCCGCCAGCCAGCGCGAAAATAAGTTTGCTCTAAAATGATATTAATAAATTACTATTATCATTATTATAAGCTAGAAAAGAAATGGCAAATATAGGTAGAAAGCAAACGTATTTGAGATACGTTCATAACAAACGTCATGTGGGAGAAAATAGGTTTCTAGAAGATATGTAGAAAATAAACGTATTTAAGATATGTTCATAACAAACGTAACGTGGAAGGAAATACGTTTCTTGCGAAACGTATTTGAGAATGCAGTTTAGTTTTGTGGGAACGTAATTTCTAGGAGACAGGGTTGCTCTGGCCCTCCTTGGTCGATTTTGATGATTGACATCTCTTTTTAACCGCTAGAGCCAATGGAATCGAGGAAAGTTCCACACACACACAGGTTACCAAATAAGGAGTGAGAGTGACGCATAGCCAAAACCGGAAGCTGCAAAACACTCTGGTGGCTACCATTAGCAGCTAATATTTATTCTCCGATTTTTACATAAAAATTGAATTATGGATTATCAATAATTTTTTCAAAGTGACAAACACCGACAGACACATTGGATTAACCTTCAGCAGCGTTTTTATCGTTTGAATGCCATTGAACACGACTTTTGATCAGAATAACAGCTAAGGTGAGACGATCTCCCGTGTTTGCTCCATAATGCTACGTGTTGTGTTGTCTGTGTTTGCTTCCCCTGTCGCGAGTTCTGATCGCTCAGTGATGATACTAATACCTATATAATCTGTGGAGTCTCAGCTTTAATCGGATATCCTGTATGTGCAGTTACGATAAGTAATAAGGGTATCTTTACCTTGAGTTCTGTGCCAAGTGCGTTAGCATTTTTTTCGATCAGGGGTCTTTTAGACGCTTCTTATGAGACTTGTGTTTTGTTTTGGTAAAAATGGTTCGTATCGTCAGTTAGCTGAGTTTCTTCCCGTTAATCTGGTATGACACATTAATAGGTTTTTAAATATTAAGAAGCCCTGAGACACAGTTTCGTGAATAAAAAACCTGCAGCCCCCTGTACAGGGGGCTCTCGGGCTAAACAGGTTAAGCATTTTTAGGGTGGTTAGAAAAATGTAAACTGTTGTAACATCAGGATTAATTTTTGCCTCCAACTAAAATCTCTTGACAAAGAAATATGCAGGTAGCATGGTCATAGTTGAACTAATACATTGAACACCATTGGAAAAACCCATTTGTCCTTGGTCAACATGAGAGGTTATCCTGTACATGTTTATCACAAACTGTGTCTCCTCATATATCAGTGTTTGGTTTACAGTACAGAGACTCCATGCTTATCTCTCCTTTGTGTTGTGCTCCATCCAGTGGACACTCTGTGCCAGAACACCAGGAAGTGGTGGAAGTGTGTTACTGTAGTGTAGTACAAAAACAAAAACACAATGAACTCAGTGCTGAGGTTTATATGAAGCTCAGCTCAAGTTCTTTCAGGAAGACTGGGTATATACATTCACTCCGCAGCTGCATATAATCAGCTCATCACGGGCGTTGTCTATAACCTATTCAGTGGCGACTGGTCATTAGGGGCAGGTGGGGCACAGCCCCACCTAGTGTCAGCAGAAAGTATTACACATAATGATTACAAAAAATGGAAAGAGATGCAAAAAAAGAAATTAAAAAATATATAAAATATATTTTAAGGTCATGTTTAATCATCTGATTCGTCTGTACATTGCTGTTTTAGTCTGTGTTCTTCTAATTAGTGTCTACAGTGCCGTTTTGAGCCATGTGGGACAAAACCTGATCATGCCCCACCCTTTCACTGTCAAAGTGAACGGTGACTGTAAAAACTACACTGCGCATGCTCAGAGTATTTTTCAATGTAATGTGTGTGGCAAAAAAAAAAAACACCATAGGGGCACAGAGCTGCCATCCCCACCATACGTCATCTCACATCATTCAGAGCTGATTGGCTGTAAGTACGTGTGCCGCGAAAAGTGTGGTGTGTGAAGAGCATGGATGTATAATAAGAGGAGACGAGAGCTGCAGTGACGCGTCCTAAAACCAGGAAGTAAGCTGCAAAAAAGCAATGAGGTTTCTCCATAGGATTTTAGAAAATAGCTTGAAATAAGATCTGTGGGAAACGTACCTGTTAGATAAATGCACGTTTTGTTCAGCCGGATAACATCCACATGTCTACCCTACTTTTATAATTTTCGAATCATAAATCTATCGATTAGATTTATGATAGACTTTTGAAACTACAAGAAGATAAGGAGGACTTTTACAAAAAAGTTATAGAATTTTTTGTCCAGAAGGATAGGCAAATGGACTTCATCTTCAAGTCAAGGTAAGACCACAATTTTTTGAAAATGGGATCTTACTTAGAGAGAACAATTCAATATTACATTCAATTACATTTTTTGGGTATCCTTTTGTTGAACTGTCTGTTTAAAATTAATCGAAGCATCAGACAAAAAAAGCTTTTGAAAATAATATTATATTTTGGTTTAGGTCAAAATATAATATTTGTAAACCTGAAGAGTCAGTGCCAGTGCCTCAGCAGCCATGAACCTCACTGCACGTCACTGCAGAAGCTTATATATAGACATCTAAGTTTTTTGTGCCCCACCACTTTTGTACATATAAAAACGCCACTGAACCTATTACATTCACCTCATTCTCCAGCAGCCAATCACTGTGCTGCAGCCAAACTTTAAAATGGTTCTCCTCTCTCCTGCAGTCAGCTGTGATTTCAGGTTTTCATGCTGCCGCCTGCCTCCTCCCCATCCACCTCCTTTCATCTTATCCAGTGCCAGGAGAGCTAACCCAAAGACCTCATCCCACCTCCTCTTCATCCCATCTCCTCATCAAATCCAGATCTTCAGCTTCATCACCAGTGTCTAGACCCCGGGGGGTTCCCTATATGCTCAAGGCTGCATTTCCCCTTTAGATATACGATTTCAGGATCGGGGTCTAATCCCCAAAGACTTAACATTTATCATTAAACAAAATGAAGTCTCTCCTGATTGAAATATATTATCCTGTTAAACTTGCATTAAATACCACAGTACTATTTTTGCAATGCCATTTCTTGACTATTTTAAAATCTGGCTTGAAATGCCTTGTGAAAATATGAGGAGATTTTTCATGCATCACTTTGAGCAACAAATAAAACAGCAGTTATTGTTGTTTAGATTCTAAAATGAGATACAATGTAATCCTTCTTACCTTAACATACATACTGTATACTGAGTTTTGAACCACTGAAATAAAAAATAAAATAAAAGGCTATCTGCCATGTTTTTTAAATCTTGCCTAATTTATAGATTGGTTTTGATTCTTGACATACGGAAACCCATCAAGTTTCCTATTGTGTTTTTAAGACTTGTTTCCTATCATCTGAAATAACACTGAACACATTACTCACACAAACAACAAAGACCAGTGACCTTGAAATTAGTATATCTATTTCTTTATTTAAAATTGTGCTTGTCAAAATTGTTATCTTGAATGAAAGACAACATATTTAATCCGTTTCACATTGAGTTCTTGTTTAGTTCAGTGATTATAAAAATGTGCTGGGAGGGAAATCATTTGAAAAGGCATTTTTTCAAAGTATAAGAAAAGGAGGGTTTCGTGTATGCATGATGAGTTAAAACTGAGAACCTGGGAAGAGGTGTATTCTGGCTTTTTACCAACCCCCGTTAGTCATGTGACCCTCATCAAATTTCACCCAGTTGTTTCTACCACACACAACAAACAAACATGAGCATATGCTGACACAATGCAAACAAATGTAGGACATCATGTTGATTCAGCTTTTTATATCACAAAGGGGGAAACTAGTTTTATAAAAAGATGGCAAAACTACAGGAAGCAAATGGTAGGGCTTAAGTCCAACTGTTATATCCTTAAAACATGTCATTAAATCAAACCCCATTTTTCCTTTGATGAGTTGTTGGCATAAATACTTGTATAATACTAAACTCTGTAGTTAGTTACTTCATTGTAAAGAGTAGTTTTAGTGTTATAGTGACTGCCTTCACTCGTAAAAGTGAATGCTACCTCTCTGATATCAGCCCCACTGTTTTCTGCTCTACAGCCAATATCCAATCACTGCTAGTGGAAACAAACATTTCATCCTACAAGCTCTTCACACAAAAAGCCATCAATTTATATATTTTTTTAATGTGAATTAGCCTCAGGAAATGTGTCATGAAATACAAATGATGTGTAAACCAGGCCTTCCTGTTCAGTGTTTAGAGCTCGAGTCCCTGCTTTCTCAGACCAAACATCTAGTTTATTTTACTGTTTTCTTAACTCACAATCACATATTTACAGATGTCTTTGATTCATAAGCCTTTTTACCAGTAATCAATATAAAACCTGGCATGTAGATATACAAGTTAACAGTTATTAACCAAACCATTTGAACACAAATGAGGATTTATCATATTATTTAGCTTCATTTTAGTTTTCTAGCAGTTTAACTATTACACATATTAAATGTAGTACACTGTAGAGGCACGTAATAAGCCTTTCTCTTAAATGAAGCTTCATGACACAATTAATTATAAAACATTTAATGTTATTATCAATTCTAACTAGCTTGACAAATTTGGTGTCTTTAGAAACAACCTTTTTTTTTTAAAGTTAAAATAAATCTATAGCTTTTTCCAACGTTCATAGATATTCTCCACATGTGTTAGGATAAAGTGTTGAAGAGATCATTATTTGATTGTTGAGTAGATTAATGCATCCACTTATGTGTTGTATACAGAATCTAAACCATATGTAAATCAGTCACCACATTAAACTTATTTTGTAGAAAATACTCTAAATATCGATGTTTGTTTCCTTGAATGAAAACAAATCAACACATGAAATAAGATGAGTGATTAGGTGACTCTGACAGGAGAGATGATCAGAGGTGCAGAGTTTTTACGGCCATATTTATGACCTGGATAGAAGTATGGGAAGAGTTTCTCAGTGAAGGAGCAGCCAGTAAAGGAGTAGATCAGAGCTGCAGCATCTACGTCATAAAAGGAGACCAGACCCTCCTCATAATCCACAAACACCCCCACCTTCTGAGGCCGAGACTTCAGAGAGAGACGGACTGACGGAGCACCTTGAGCTTTGTACTCATTTCCATTTCTCAAACATATAGTCCAGTAACCATCTTTAGGGGTCGATATGATCTCTCCCTTCCTGTTGATCGACTCTCTGGCCACTCCTAAATCCCATCCAGTCTTTCTTTTAACTTGAACCTCAAAGTAAAATCTGCCTGAAGAGAAACTCTGCTTTCCTAAAACACAATTACAATCAGAAAATCTCTCTGGGTTGTCTGGGAGTTTCTTTTGAACATCACCATACCTCACTTGTTTTCCATCATCAGACAGGATGAGACTGGGATAGGCTGTATCAGGGTCAAGAGTCACATCCACTGCATACTTCTGGATCCTCTTCAGCTTAGCTTCAAGCAGCTTCTTCATCTCTTTACTGAACGTCTCCTCCACCTTAGCCACAGCCTTTACCACCGTCCCCTCATATACCGCTGGGGTCAAACGGAATTTTCTCAAGTCCTTGGAGGGTTGTTGGTGTTGAATGTTTAGGGACTTGACACTTTGTAGAAAATGCAGGTGGTCTTCAGAGTGTGTGACCTGCTCTACCTCAGAGCTTCTCTTCTTCAGCTCAGAGATTTCCTGTTCTAACTCTTTGATTAAAGCTTCAGCCTTTTTTTCAGTTGTTTTCTTCTTCGCTTTGATCGTGTTGATGAGATTGGCCTGGCCTCTCTCAACAGACTTCTTCAGAGCAGTGAAGACCTGAACACCTTCTGCTACCTCTCTGTCTGCTTCTTCCTTACTGAGGTCCACTGAGTGTTTGATCTCCTCAATCTTCAGTTGTCTCTTCCAGATCATCTGCTGAGTTTCTGCCTCTGTCTTCCCCAACTCTGCCTTCTTTCTTTCATATCCTTCTTTGAGAGGAACCACATCATGCATCTTGTGTTCTGAAACATGGCAGAGCATGCAGACACATGTCTGGTCGGTCTTACAGAACAGCTCCAGAGGTTTATCGTGCTTCGGACACATCCTGTCTTCCAGGTTCTCCACAGGGTCGATCAGCTGATGTCTTTTCAGGCTTGAAGCTGTCAGATGAGGCTCCAGGTGAGTCTCACAGTAGGAGGTCAGACACACCAGGCAGGACTTCAGGGCCTTCAGTTTGGTTCCAGTGCAGACGTCACAGGGAACTTCTGCTGGTTTGAAGACTTGTTGCTCTGAGCTGCTGCTGCTGCTGCTGCTGGCTTTCTGTTGAGCCGACTGTCTGAACTGAGATACCATCTCAGAGATGAAAGTGTTAACGTGCAGCTCAGGTCTTGTGTAGAATTCTTTATTACACATGGGACACTGGCACCAGTAACTTGTATCCCAGTGTTCTTCAATGCAGTCTTTACAGAAGTTGTGTCCACATGGTATAGTGACTGGATCAGTGAACAAATCCAGACAGATGGTGCAGAAAAACTGATCTTCAGAAGGCAGATAGCTTGCAGCAGCCATATCTACACACATAATGAGAAAGAAAACAGAAAACATTTGAAACATCAATCATCAATTCATATCATATATTGTTTTAAAGAAAGAAGTGTGATAACTTGTAACAAGCCATGAGCAACCGTGACGATTTAACTCTGACAGGGTCAAGCATGCAACTCTGGCTAACAGCAATGAAAATATAGGTTTTCTTGATCATTTTTCTATTGAAAAATAACACTGCTCTTCTTACTTTGTGACCATAATTATTCATTTCCTCTAGCTGCTCCACATTAAAAGACTCCAACTGTTTCTCTAATGGAAAGATTTTATTTTGAAACAGTTAGAGGAAATGGGTAAAAGCAATATGTCAGAAGTAGGGCTGTCAGTCGATTAAAATATTTAATCGCGATTAATCGCATGATGTCCATAGTTAATCGCGATTAATCGCAAATTAATCGCACATTTTTCATCTGTTCTAAATGTACCTTAGAGGGATATTTTTCAAGTTTTGAATACTCTTATCAACATATGAGTGGACAAATATGCAAATATGCTTTATGCAAATGTTTGTTTATTATCATTTGAACAATTGTTTATTATCATTTTGATACATACAATATACAATACAGTGTGTGTGTGTGTGTGTGTGTGTGTGTGTGTGTGTGTGTGTGTGTGTGTGTGTGTGTGTGTGTCTTTTCTATAATGTCCCACTGTCTGGCTACTTGCATAAAGTCAAGTGCTCGGCGCAGTTGTCCTCTGTTTTCATTGAAACAGCTCCTTATATCCGTTAGCATCTGGTGCTACCTAGCTGCGCTAACAACAACAATACACGTAGGATGTGCATGTTCTCTCTCTCTCGCGCCACACATAAACACACCCTCCCGGTCCTCCCGATCACCAGTCCGGGCATGCCGGTGAGCGTGGAAGTGTGGTCTGCCGCAAGCGGGCGGCAGGAGCGGGGCTGTCAGCATCAGCTTGTAGATAGTATTTTAAACTCGATGCGCTCTGAAACTACGGGGCGGCCGAGGACAAAAAATACACATGCGTTAATCGCGTTAAAATAATTAGTGGCGTTAATTTTCTTTTGTTAAAAACTAGAAATTGCTAGTGGGAATGCTTTATGCTGAAAAGCTGACGCTAAACTGCTATGCTGAAATGTAATGTGTAAGAAGAAAGTGAAGAATTTAGATTGAAATGATACATGAACACTGAATGTGAATGTGTGATGAGAGAAGAAAAGAAAGTAAAAAGGCTTGGAAAAGCAGCAGAATATTTGAACTGCAAACTTTTGAACTAACTTGATGGCGAATGATCTGTCGCCATGCCAACGGCATTTGATGACATCACATAATACACTTAGATGCACTGATGGCTGCATCGTTACCAAACCTGTGAAGTTGTGGGCCGTTTGGAGCATTTTCACTGAAGTTATGAGAAAACCGTGTTTCATGGCGAGCATTGTGTTGCCATGGCAACGGCATTTGAAGAAATCTCAAAACTGTCCCGTAGATGTCTTCACGGCTGGACTGTTAGCACACATGTGAAGTTTGAGCACTTTTTGAACATTTTCATAGGAGTTATAGCGACATCGTCTTTTATGGCGAGGGAACGGCATATGATGAAGCCCCATAATTGACGTAGAGCTGTTGAGGGCTGGACCGTTAACCATTATCTGAAGTGTGGTGCTGTTTTGACCCTTTTCATAGGCGTTACGACAACATCGTGTGTTATGGCGGGGGATGCGTTTCCATGGAAACGGCATATGATGACACCCCATAATTGACGTAGAGCTGTTGAGGGCAGGACCATTAACCATTAACCATTATCTGAAGTGTGCTGCTCTGAGCATGTCAGTTGGAGTTATGACATCATCGTGTTTCATGACACAGGTGTTTATATTTGAGCTAACGACGTGTCCAGAGATCAAAGGTTTCCATGGTGATCAGTGAGAAGAGAGCATTTTCATTGTTCTGAATGAGAGATAAACCTCTTACATGTGAACGTTTTGTTGAAGAACCGTAACAGATATCGGTGACATTTCAAAGCGTGAAGCATGTCAAGGAACTTGAGCATCTGAAGTGTACTTTTTGTGTACTTTCAGGTTAATAATGTGGCCTTTTTGGCAGATTAACTAAAGGTGTGCGGCTGCTGTGGTGGGGAAAGGTGAGGCTGAACTTACAATGGGGTTTAATGGAGACATGTTGAAAGTTTTTGTCATTTCATGCCCTCAAGAGGCATTTTGTTTAATTATTTTTGCATCTTTCAAGCTACGAGATGTTTTCCTACGTTTGTCATGAAAGATTATGTCTCAGGAATGTAGGGTTTGGGAATTATGGCAGGTTTAAAAGAAAATATGAAGGCAAAATTAAATCTGTCCTCCACTCTAGCTTTGACATCACGCACTCTCAAATCTGAAGAAGGCCTCTTTACCAAGGTCTGAACAATGTTTAATATCTCTAAAAGTAAGAATCAGATTTAAAAGTTGTGGTACACGAATAATGTCAGAAAGATGTGTAACATTTTAAAGTTGGAATGAGGTTTCTGAGTGAAAGTATGAAGGAGCAGTTAGCATTTTAAGAAGGAGCAGTTAGCAGTTGAAGTTGCATGAAGATTGTTGAAGTCTGAAGAGTTTCTCCATTGACTTCCATGTTAAAAATGGGATGAATTATGGGATGTATCTCTGGAATTATGAAAGTTATGAATGATAAAAGAAATAGCCATCGATTCCCGACCGAGCTGAACGTTTTGATGTTTGTACGGAGTTTCTGCGATGTTTAATGTGGGAGAAGAAGAGGCGCAAAATAACCCAGCGGAATAATAAAGAATTTCGTGCGTAGCATAACGGATAGTTGGAAAGCTGTGTCAGCATTCCCACTAAATAAGAGCAGGAGAGCAGAAGTGAATCAAAACTCCTCACCACAGAGATTCAGTTACAAGTAGTGTTGTAGTCGAGACAACCTTATCCGAGACCAAGACATTACCAAGAATTTAAGAGGGCGAGACCAAGACATTACCAAGACTGAAGAGTAGCAAGACCAAGACAAGACCAAGACTTTAAGAGGGCGAGACCAAGACAAGACCAAGACTTTAAGAGGGCGAGACCAAGACAAGACCAAGACTTTAAGAGGGCGAGACCAAGACAAGACCAAGACTTTAAGAGGGCGAGACCGAATCAAGACCGGAACCCGACTACTGTGAATCCAACACTACATGATACACTTACAATAGCATGTGTAAGATACCATAGTCAATTTGATCTGAAAGATCCACATCATCATAAAAAGACACATATACGTAAGATATAAATTCAACTTCATCATATTTATTCAAAAAGTTATCCTTTTCATATAAAAACAGTAACATAGTAAGAACATAATATAAATGTTACGGCTCTCTCTCTCTGAGTTTGCGTTCAGTGAAAACACACACACACACATTTTGCAACATCTTCACTGCAAGACCGTTTGAGTGTAGCAGCTGGTATAAACCATGCAAGGGCGCCGGAAGCGGGGGGGCCAGGGGGCCATTGGCTCCCCCACTTTTCAGCCCTGCCCCACATTTTCGCAGCGGCGGATGCCGCGGAACACTGTACAAATCCCGTTTCAATAATTCCCCTCTACTCTAAAGTCCCATCTAAAACGCGATCTGATCTAGCTGTGTATATTTTGTTATTTTTGATTGTTATATTCAATCCCATAGCTACAGGCATGTTTGAAGCTTGTAAAGGGAAGATGACAGCTCTCACTCGCCACTCTGCTCTTCCACAGCGCCGCTTCCCCTCCCTCCGCTAACATTATGAATGGAAGGCTTATAGTAATCATAGATAACACGGCAGGGTCCGTTACAGTTTGTTTTTATCTGATTTTAAGTAAACAAAGTCTTGGCTTTCAGAATATTAAACTTGTTTCGGCAAATTCAGATGATAAATACAACGTTGAAGCTTGTAACGGCATAATTACAAGCGGAGAACGGAGTAACTTTACGTCACAGCAGGCATAACAACAGCCGGTGTTTCTCGTGAGTGTTTTTGTTGAGTGGACTGGAAGAAATCATCTGCTTCTGAATGTGGCCAAGACCAGAGAGATGGTCATTGATTTCAGGAGGAAGAGGACATCTCCTCCTCTGCCCCTGTGCATTCTAGGAGAGGATGTGGCAGTTGTGGAGGTCTACAAGTACCTGGGAGTGCACCTAGACAATGGGCTGAACTGGAGGATCAACACTGACGCTGTGTACAAGAAGGGGATGAGCCGACTCTATTTTCGGAGGAAGCTGAGATCCTTCAATGTATGCAGTAAGATGCTGGAGATCTTCTATCAGTCTGTTGTGGCTAGTGCACTCTTCTTTGCTGCGGTCTGCTGGGGGGGCAGCATCAGAGCCGGTGACACCAGCAGGATCAATAAACTGATCAGGAAAGCTGGGTCAGTCATCGGCATCAAGCTGGACCCCTTTGAAGCTGTGGTGGAGAGGAGGACACTGAACAGGCTGTTGTCCATCATGGATAACCCCAGCCATCCTCTCCACCTGCAGCTGGACAGTCAACGGAGCTCCTTCTCCAACAGACTGCTGCAGCTCCCCTGTCACAAGGACAGATACTGGAAAACATTCCTGCCCACTGCAATAACTCTGTACAATAAATCACCTCTGGCTGGAAGAGAACTCTCTGCTCCATAGTTTCTCTAGAAATAAAACCACCTTGTACATTTTACTCACACATAATCTGTTTCATATTTAATACTCCATATTTCATATATTTTGAATATATATAATATCTACATGTATATTTTCTATTTCGACATGTATATTTTATATTTTATTTTATTTCTATTCTTGTATATTTTGTTTTATTGTAAAATGCCTTTTATGCTGCTGTAACAAAAACAATTTCCCAATTTGGGATCAATAAAGTACGATCTATCTATCTATCCCCGGGGAAACAAACACAACACACACAAATGCAAAAATACACACACACACACACACACACACACACACACACACACACACACACACACACACACACACACACACACACACACACACACACACACACACACACACACACACACACACACACACACACACACACACACACACACACACACACACACACACACACACACACACACAGGCTTCCCCCAGACCAGTAATCCAAACGAAAATATCTTCCCTTCGTACTATTTTGATCATTTGCTCCGCTAATAATCAATCAGATCGATCCAGAGAAGAGGAAACTTTAAAGGCCTTTTTCTCAAAATGATGACTCTGTAACAGTCATTATATAATGTGACATATTTTGCTTAATATTTGGAGTAGCCTACAACAACAATCCTGATATCATTAGAAAGCTATGACTCTCCTCTTTCCAACAGTGTATACAACTCAAAATGTGTCTTCGGGTCAATGCGACTGATTTCGATGGAGCAGGTCACTTTGCATTAGGTAAAATAAAGCAGGCAGACATAACAGGAAGAATATGTACATTTTAACCCAATCAAATAGGACATTGTCACACCATTCAAATGTATTCATGTACATTACAACCAATAAACAAGCTTAGATTTGTTTATTTGTTACGTTGTTTACTTTATTTGTTACGTTGTTCTGTGTGTGTCAGCCGTTAACCAGAAAGAATAGATACACTTGCAAACATGTCAGAAGAACCAGCGCAGAAGAAAACTAAATACAGTCAATCTAAACTTAAATTTAACAACTGGAAGGTCACATCCCTGACATCCACATCAACGGAGCCTGGACCTTCATCAATCATAGAAACAGCGAAGCCAGATTAACCCAAAAGCAGCAGCTCCTCTGCGGCCGCAGAGACTGTCAAAACCGCCGCCACCGCCGTCGTTGAACCGAAACAGGCTGGTTCCGACTGCATGGAGGTTTGTTGTCGGGACATTGAGGCGGGTAAAGCTGTACAGCTAACTGTCGAAAAAAAGGAGACCGCTAGATCGTCTGGGCAAAGAGAAAGGTACTTCAACGCAGAATGGTACAAAAACAGAGAGTGGTTAATTATTTGCAAAACCACTAAACGGGCCTTCTGTGAAATATGCAGATTTGCTGCTGTCAAACGGCTTGTAACTTTCTCAAAATGTGGAGATGATAGCTTTGTTAATACCGGAGTTAATAACTGGAAAAAGTGCCCAAGCCTCCTGGACAGCCACGAAAAGTCTCATTTCCACAGAGTGTATTAAAAAAAAGTGCGCTTTCTTCAGTCAAACACCAGTCAACATACAGCTTGCCAAACAACAGCGTATTGAGCAGGAAAAAATAAGAGATGGAATGATGGAGCAACTGCGCTGTCTGCAGTTTCTAACCCAACAGGGCCTAGCAATCAGGGGGCATGCGGATAAGGAGAGCAATTTCCAAAATAACTCGTAGCTGAGAAAAACCCCACTCTCAAAGCTTCATGCTCACTGGGAAATATGCATTACATAAGACAATTAATGAATTTATAAATCTACATCATGATTGATTGATTAATGTATCGGGAGTCTCTCACCACTATATTAACTGAAATGAAAAGCAATGCAAAACACTATGCAGTTATTGTGCTTCCAGCAAACATCCACTGATAAATTGCGATGTTAACAACCTCATGATAACCTCATATATATTTTTAACTTAGGATCATACCTGTGTTTAGTCTAGATTAGAAAAAGGTAAATGTGTGCATTTTATTATAAAGTTGTGTATATTTACAGACTGTTGCAAGGTTTAAAACTAAAAGAGCTTTACAAAAAAGTAACACAATGAAAGATGTTTGGAGTTTTATTTGAGTTATTAATTTACATGTTTTGTCAAAGAGATGCTGATTTGAAACCGTTGTTACATACAGTTACGGCATTTCCTGTTTCTGCCGGAGAGAGGGGAGTTTGTCCCAAAGCTTGCTGCTGTATTTACTCCCTCCATCTGACAGGAGGGAGCCTCATGTGTCACTCCGTCACGGAGGGGGAGTGTGTAGGGGTAGGGTGTAGGGCGTGGTTTGGGATTGGGCCATACACACGCACTTTTTTGGCCCCCCCCCACTTCTAAAATGAATCCGGCGCGCCTGAAACCATGCCATGTTAACAAACATTGCGGCTCATGAGGGCAAAGATTCGGAGTCACGTGAAGTCACGTTATTGGTTTTAACAGGGCGTTTTACATCCAATCACATCCCCAGCAACAGCCGTGGTCTCGACTATGGATTTATAATAAGAACAGTCTCGCTCGCTCTTGACACAAAATCTTGTGACCTTTACAGTAGGTCCGAGACCGAGATCGTTAAATGGTGGTCTCGATACCATGACCGGTCTCGAGTACTACAATACAAGTTACAAGTTACTAAATCAGAATCAGAATACCTTTATTAGTCCCACAGAGGGACATTTGACAAAGTACTAAGAGCTGATACAAAGAGACTGTTTAAGCTGTTTAAAGTGGACTCTATATCATATGGTTATGTTGTTAGAGAAAAACAAGTTGGGTGGAGATTTCGTCTGAGTAGAGCTGAAGTTTTGTGTTAGTCCTGCTTGTTGAAAGTGTAAATATAATCAGATGTACTCACCAGTGTTTGACAGAGATTCTGCTGTGTTGTTGAGAAAGATCTGATGAACTCAGTTTGTATTTTCTTTAGACAGAAACAGAGACTAGTCTCTCTAACTAATTTAACGTTCGTTCCCTGAGTGTGTCGTGTAAGCTCTCCTCTTTCCACTGTAGCTCCTCCTCTCACAGCAGCTGGTGTTCCCTCCCTCTGATCTGCATGGGTATTGAGAAATACCAGGTTTTCTCTGATAGTTAGGGAGCAAAGGTTCTGCTTTACACGTGTGAGGAGTGAGGTGTGTCAAAAGCTGTTTCTAATCTTTATTATGATGAATGTTTTCAGTTAGATTTATTGGAAAACAGATGTCAGTAAAATGTCATGGATGACATAATCTACATAGTTAAAGACTTATTTCCATTGTAGTACTTAATGAACTTGAACTATACTGGTTTCCCGTCTCCCACCGCATCAACTAAAAAAGACTGGTCCTTACTTACAAAGCCCTCCGCCATCTGCCACCCCCCCCCTACCTCACTGACCTCCTCACCCCCTACCAACCCCAAAGGTCCCTCAGATCGACCTCAGCCGGTCTCCTCCCAAACTCTGCAGCTTCGGGGACATGTTTTATTATTATGATTAGTAATGTAGACAACGTACCTTCATCAAATGTACAACAAGTACAATATGTATCTACTCTAAAACAGAAATCTATATACAATAAAATAAACTACCTTTTAGACATTGAATATGTAACATTAGTGGTCATGATAACAAGGAAGAAGAGTGTTTTCTCTCAGGCAGCATCCCTTATGGATCATTATGGCATTTTGTTGCCTGAATTAAAGCAATCATATTATCCTGTTCTCCCTTTTTCCTCGTGAGATATTGGGTCTCGATTGATGAGGCTGTTGCCTAATGCTGAAACATAACAACATGTTAAATGTCCTCATTAAGCTAAGAAAAAAAGAGACAGTAGAGAATGATATCTCCCAGTGATTGAACCTCTTAAATCAAGGTTACTTTACATTAAGTTGCAAAATATATAAGAATATGTCTTAGTTACTCAAATATATAAAACATTTCACCTGAGGAAATCTCTGTGCAAACATCTCTGTATCTTATTTACAATATTATTGTTGTTGTTGTAATATCACTGATATTTAGTTTTTCTCTTTGAAACTTATACATTCAAGAATTCCATAAAAATACAATCCAAAATTCAGATTAGTACCAACATTAATTATTATTTTTATTGTAGTTATTATTATTAGTAGTGTTATTAGTATTATGATAAAAGTTATTCTAATACAATTATTATTATTTTATTATAATAAACCTATTATTTAATTATTATTATTATTATTATTATTATGTATTATAATAATAATAATATATTTTATTACATTTTTGTAATCATTATTATTTAATAATAATAATAATAATAATATTTTAGTATAATTGGTAAACACTATTTTTAGGTTTTTATATTAAAAGCAGAACCTCTTTACTTCCTGAATTAGTCTTTTATTTTATATTATATTATGATGTGTCTATATTGTGTTGAATTGTTGGAGGAGCCTGATCTCTATGGTTTCCCTTGCCAAAGCTGTGCTGTATCGAGTCCACATTTCACAAATCTCACAGATCAGATCTGATTATTGATCACTCAGAAACACTTTGACTTCCTGTTGCTGACGGCTGTTTGTCCCGCAGCTCCCCGGCTAAACAGGCCGAAACTCACTCAGCCAGTCCAACATCTTCCAGCATCAACAGTCTTCAAATGCCAACTGCTGCCATAGAGAAAACCCCACCCTGAGTCCTGAAGCTTATTTGTACCTTTAGGAGATTGGGTCCAATATGTCTGACATATCCCATAAAATTCCAATCGTTTTTTTAAATGTTATACTTTTGATTACATGCAGCAACATTTGCACAAAAGGTGTAGCAAGATTGTCTTCAAACAAAAAAATACAGTTATAGTTAAATATTGACAGCTCTACTCACCCTTGTAGCAGAGACCCTGATGTGTAGTTGAATAAGAGCTGACGACTGGATGAGTTTAGTATTAATTTATAGAGAAACAGAATTGTCTCCACTGTTGAAACACTACTGCAAAAACTTGCATACCTTGAGTTTGATTTAAGGATTATGATCTGTTGCCCTTCCAGTTTTGCCCCGCCTCTTACTGCAGCGCTTTTGGTTAGGTTTTTATCTTCCTCATGTTTAGACATTATTAACCCTTGTGTTGTGTTCGAAAGCTGTTACTGTTCATGGTGTCAATTTTGACCCATGATGTATCTCAGTCCAAAACACTCCAAAATAATGACTATCATCCAATATTGTTTTAACTACATCATAACTAACTTATTATGCATTCATAACCGTACTGTTGTAATTTTATTTTATGGCCCCAAAACACATCACACCACATATTTAAGTAAAACATTTGATTATATTCGCTCATTATATTCCTTATGGTGAAGACAGTGGATAATGATGTTACCTGACTATAATAGACTTAATAGACTTAACATTATTGTTACAGTGGATGAAGGGGGAGGGGTGTCTAAAGTCAAAGATTAATCTTGATTGGGTCAAATTTGACCCCGAGTCACCCACAACAATGCTGCTGGGTCTCCCCAGACCCGAACACCAAATTATACACTTTTTATTTTAGAGACTTTCAGACTTGGCTAAAATGATCAAAATCAGTTTTGTAGAGTTTATATAGCTGTTGTGGAGGATATCATGAACCCTTGTTCCGATAAAAAAAACTAGTGCGTAGTTATTATATAATTTGAACTTGAAACGGGTCACGGGAGACCTGAACACAACATAAGGGTTAAAGTGACATACACATTTTCCCTGGCTTAAAAGCAAAAGGGGATACTGTTCCAGTTTAAATTTGACGTTTTTAATATGTGAATTTCTGATTCCAATTGTGTGTACTGGGCATTTAAAAAAACAAACAAGGAAACTGTTTACCCATTCAAATCACAGACCAGTTTAGTCGACTTGTATTGTTACAGGTCTACGTGTTGCAGGGAGCTTTGATAGTCTGGTCATTTGCTGTCCCCACATCTGGACCAATTAACAAAAAGCTTTGCCAACTAGATGAGTTTAGAATACAAACTCTGAGTCTGATAATCGCTAATGATACATAACCAATGCAATGTGTGCTTATTGAAAGTAGGACGAAACACATGTTGTAATACTGTTTGCAGTCTACACAGGCCTAAAACTTCCTTTATTGTTCAGACATCTCCAAACAAACCAGTTGTTAAATGTCAGTGAACTGATGCCAAAGTGAATGCCCCACCCAGAGGCTGAGTTTCCACAGAGGAAAGTTGTCTGATGGCTGCATCAATCAAAATTCATAGGCTATAGTATATTATTTATTCAGACAGAGGAGAATCAAAATATTATGTTGGGTAACACTTTATATTAAGGTACACACATTCACCATCAACTAGTTGTTAATTAACATGCATATTAGCAGTGTATTGGCTCTTTATTAGTCACTATAAAACACTTATTAATGCCTTATTCTACATGACCATATTCTACAAGTAATAGGCCATTAGTTGAGAGTGTTTCCTCAATAACCCTCGAATTAGTGCTTATTTATTGCAAGTAAGGAAGTTGTTGTACATTAGTTTTGGTCTTAATATGCTCTGCTCAATATTTGACTTCCTGTTGCTGACGGCTGTTTGTCCCGCAGCTCCCCGGCTAAACAGGCCGAAACTCACTCAGCCAGTCCAACATCTTCCAGCATCAACAGTCTTCAAATGCTAACTGCTGCCATAGAAAAAGCCCCACCCAGAGTCCTGAAGCTTATTTGTACCTTTAGATTTAGATTTATGATCGATAGATTTATGAACATTTTAAAAGTAGGGTAGACATGTGGAGATTATCCAACTGAACAAAACGTGATCCGTCTCTTAAATGTGTCTCAACCACAGACCTTATTTCAGCTTTTTATATCACAAAGGGGGAAACTAGTTTTATAAAAAATATGACAAAACTACAGGAAGCAAATGGTAGGGCTTAAGTCAAACTGTTATATCCTTAAAAAATGTAATTAAATCAAACCTAATTTTTCCTCATATGAGTTGTTGGCATAAATACTTGTATAATACTAAACTCTGTAGTTAGTTACGTCATTGTAAAGAGTAGATTTTGTGTTATAGTGACTGCCTTCACTCATAAAAGTGAATGCTACCTCACTGATATCAGCCCCACTGTTTTCTGCTCTACAGCCAATATCCAATCACTGATAGTGGAAACAAACATTTCATCCTACAAGCTCTTCACACAAAAAAACATCAACTTATATTTTATTTAATGTGAATTAGCCTCAGGAAATGTGTCATGAAATACAAATGATGTGTAAACCAGGCCTTCCTGTTCAGTGTTTAGAGCTCGAGTCCCTGCTTTCTCAGACCAAACATCTAGTTTATTTTACTGTTTTCTGAACTCACAATCACATATTTACAGATGTCTTTGATTCATAAGCCATTTTACCAGTAATCAATATAAAACCTGGCATGTAGATATACAAGTTAACAGTTATTAACCAAACCATTTGTAACACAAATGAGGATTTATCATATTATTTAGCTTCATTTTAGTTTTTCTAGCAGTATAACTATTACACATACACATATACAGTAGAGGCACGTAATAGGCCTTTCTCTTTAACAAAGCTTTATAACAATTGATTATAAAACATTTAATGTTATTATCAATTCTAACTAGCTTGACAAATTTGGTGTCATTAGAAACAACCTTTTTTTTTTTTAAAGTTACAATAAATATCTGTAGCTTTATCCAACGTTCATAGATATTCTCCACATGTGTTACGATAAAGTGTTGAAGAGATCATTATTTGATTGTTGAATAGATTAAATCATCCACTTATGTGTTGTATACAGAATCTAAACCATATATAAATCAGTCACCACAGTAAACTTATCTTGTAGAAAATACTCTAAATATCGATGTTTGTTTCCTTGAATGAAAACAAATCAATACATGAAATTAGATGAGTGATTAGGTGACTCTGACAGGAGAGATGATCAGAGGGGCAGAGTTTTTACGGCCACATTTAACACGTCTATACAGGCCTAAAACTTCCTTTATCGTTCAGACATCTCCAAACAAACCAGTTGTTAAATGTCAGTGAACTGATGCCAAAGTGAATGCCCCACCCTGAGGCTGAGTTTCCACAGAGGAAAGTTGTCTGATGGCTGCATCAATCAAAATTCATAGGCTATAGTATATTATTTATTCAGACAGAGGAGAATCAAAATATTATGTTGGGTAACACTTTATATTAAGGTACACAAATTCACCATCAACTAGTTGTTAATTAACATGCATATTAGCAGTGTA